CAACAAAAACGCTCTCGCGCGGCGAGGCGCAGCCGCCCAAAAAGCACGCAGAACCGACGGCATCGCCCAAACGCCCGCCTTCTCCGCCTTTCCCCCCCCCCCCACACACCTGAGCCGATCCCCCTGAGCGTGGGAGCACCGCTGGGAGCAGGGGTCTGAACAGATGGGGTCGGAGGATGTCGTCGCATCGCCGATACGACAGGCTTTAGTACATCGCCGATGCATCGGCCATGCACTGGCGGCGTCGGCGATGCATCGGCGACGTCGGCGTGGACAAAAATTGGGCCCCACATCGAGCCGCATCGCCGATGCGCTCGCCAATGCGTCGGCGATGTGGCGCGCTCCTCCGATCCCGTCTACTCCGACCCCATCGAGGAGGCCCAGAAGCAGAGGGCGAAGGCGGACCCGGGCTGGCCCGGGGGGCACCAGTGGAGGAAGAGGAGGAGGAGGAGGAGGAGGAGGAGGAGGAGGAGGAAGAGGACAAGTGGAAACCCAAGAGTCATAATCAAGATTGGATTTACCGTTCTCTCCAAGCTCCCTCTTCATGGGCCCCTTATAACGGTTCATTTCCATTGAAAGAACTGCCTCGCATGTTTGAAGACCCGGAAGCGTGCCAAAACATTGTTCTCGGGATTTCAACGCCACGTATCAACCTGACTGCTGCGTCTTGACGATCCAGAATCGTGCCAAAACGCCACTTTTGGGACTTCAACACAGCGAATCAACATCACTGTTGCGCCCGCATAATCCGGAGTTCTCCCAACACTACGTTGATCATGGGAGTCCGCGAACATCTTGACAAACTACAACTGAGTGTGCGCGGCGTTACAGCGACAACCACCTGTAAAAAAACAAAGCCCTCAATCCGTGAATATCTTGCAAACTGTTAAAACGAATGTGCGCGGCGCTAGAGCGAGAACCACATTTTGAAAACGACCCGCCCTCAATCCGTGAAGCTCTCGGAAATGTGCTAAACAAATGTAAGCGGCGCTAAGGCGAGAGCCACATGTTGAAAACCACTCGCCCTCCATCTGTGAAACGGTTGCCACTTTTTAAGCTTCAGCGTCATACACGGTGAAGATGTCTCAGGCGAAACGCCCGGTCCGCCGTAAAAACTGGTCTCGGGGTGCGACAAGGGGAAATTATCGATAAGGGAAACGAATGGAGGAGGAGGAGAAGGAGGAGGAGGAGGAGGAGGAGGAAGGAGGAAGAGGAGGAGGAGAAAGAAGGGAGAAGGGAGGAGGGAGGAGGACGAGGGAGGAAGGGAGGGAGGCGGGAGAAGGGAGGGAGGCGGAAGGAACAGGAACAGGAACAGACTATCCCACGTAGTGGTCGAGGGAGGCGGAAGGAGGAGGAGGATGGGGGAGGAAAAGGGGGAGGAGGAGGAGGAGGAGGAGGAGGAGGAGGAGGAGGAGGAGGAGGAGGAGGAGGACGGGGAGGAGGAGGAGGAGGAGGAGGACGAGGAGGAGGAGGAGGAGGAGGAGGGGGAAAGGAGAAAGGATTGAGGAGCGAGGAGAGAGGAGGGAGGAGCGAGGAGGGAGGTGGGGGGAAGGAGGAGGGAGGCGGCAGGAGGGAGGAGGGAAGAGGGAGGGAGGCGGGAGGCGGGAGGAGGAGGAGAAGAGGAGTAATTCGGAGTAGGAGTAGAAAAGGAGGAGGAGGAGGAGGAACCAGCTTGAGCGAGTTAAGCATGGCATGCCCGTTCCCACCCGCCCTCCCGCAACATAAGAAACAGTGCTGGCGCAACTGGGGGCCGAAATCAGATTGGCAAGGTGGTTTGGCACAGCTGATGCAGCCGCGATGGCGGTTACCGATGGGAAATCCCTTGCGCGTCTCAAAGGCTGCGCTGGCATTTTAGCTCGAGCCGAAGATGCCCCAGGAGGCCCCAGGAAGCCTCAGGAAGCCCCAGGAGGCCTCAGAAGGCCCCAGAAGGTTGCAGGAAACCACAGCGAACCCCGGGAGGCCCTAGGAGGTCCCATGAGGCTTCAGGAAGCCCTAGGTGTCAGGAAGCCCCGGGGAATACTAGGAAACCCCAGGAAGCCTCAGGAGGCTCCAGGAAGATCCACGAGGCCCTGGGGAGGCCCAGGGAAGCCCCGGGATGTTCCAGGTGACCCTGGGCAGCCCAAGGGGGCCCACGGCGCTCGACGAATTGGCGAGCGAAAGTGCTGCAGTAGTCGAAGTGGCAGTAATAGAAGTAGCAGTAGTAGTAGTAGCAGCAGCAGCAGCAGCAGCAGCAGCAGCAGCAGCAGCAGTAGTAGTAGTAGTAGTAGTAGTAGTAGTGGTAGTAGTAGTAGTAGTAGTGGTAGTAGTAGTAGTAGCAGTAGCAGTAGTAGTAGTAGCAGCAGTAGTAGTAGTAGTAGTAGTAGTAGTAGTAGTCGTAGTAGTAGTAGTAGCAGCAGAAGCAGCAGCAGCAGCAGGAGTAGTAGTAG